ACAGCCTGAGCAGGAAAGGAAACAGGCTCCAGCACGTAGGGCTTCCCCCTTTGCTATGCGAGTGCAGGGGCTGCGCATGAGTGGCAGGGAGTGCTGACCATACAGAAGAGCTGGTGGAGGCTGCACCCCTTGCCTTGATGTGCAGCGCTGCCTGGAGCTACCCCCCACCAGGTACCTGAGCACCCGGCCTGCTGCTTTGCTATGAGACGAGCGTGTGTGCTTGTGTGTGTGTGTGTGTGTGTGTGTGTGTGGGGGGAGAGGTCCCCACACCCCCCCACCCTCCCTCACACCCAAACTTTGCCCCTACAACTCCCACATATACACCACCCACACACACACACATCCCTACATCCTAACACACACACACATCCACACCCCCACACCTCACCATACACACCCACCCTACACACCATACATACACATGCACTCACACACACACATACCCACTCCACCCCCCCCACCATATACAAAACTAAGAATTTATTTTTGAGTTATTATGCAATCACCTCTATATACACACCATGCAAACACTGTAGCAGGCACTGAGGCGTTCATGACAAAAAAAATTTTTGTAATAAAAATTAAAATATGTTATAGTAGGTGTTTGATTTTTAGTATAATTTGTTTTTGTTTTTTTTGGTTCTATGATGGCAACTCCCCACCACACCCCGAATTATTTACAGGGTGGGGGCAAGGGGAGGGACTTCCAGTGGCAAGGGTTAGGGGGTGGGACTTCTAGTCCCAATGGGCAACAAGGGGGCAGGGCAACTGTCAGGGGGTGGGGCTACCCATGAGGCCCTCAACAAAGCACCAAAATTCATTAAGTGGCCCTCCTCCTGAAATAATTGCCTGCCCCTGGTCTAACTAGCTGAAAATGGATGTTTAAAAACTATTCAGGAAGCAAAAGGTGGGTACGATCTAAATACCAGCATAACCATTATGCTGTGGTGATTTATAACACCTTGCATTTTTGCAGTCACTTTCAGCCTGAAGGCACTCCAAATTCTTTACATGTGTGCATAAGTATAAATGCACACAGAATTCATTTAATCCACTACTGAAATGCAGCTACCTCTGGGGTGGAATGTGGCAGACACCCATCGAACCTAAAAACTGCAGCAATAAAAAAATACTCTTAACTCACAGGAACAGTGATCCAAGGCAACTGAAAAAGGAAACTTTTTGGTGCCTTCCATAAAATACATTGATGACTTTAGTCTAGTTCACAACGCATGTAGAAATACATTAGCATAACGATACAATCCAGTCTGAACAATCCCACTTCTTGCTCAGGTGTCATTCCTATCGACTCCCATAGGAGTCAAATCATGTTCTTGGAAAAAATGCAAAGAACAGTGGACCACAAGGGACTGAACTGCTCTTAGTCCTCAACAGGGTGGTCTTCCAGGTCAGGGCTGCCCAAAAAAACAGGTTACATTTACAGTACTCTGCAGCTCAAACAGAGCAGGTCCATTTCCAGCAATACTCTCAGTCCTATAATCAGCAGAAAATTCACTCTTAAAATTGTTTAAATCATCCTGCCTTTTCTCCTTCACGGGTTTTGCAGCTATTTTTGTAGAACAAATTATACCAAGCACTGATTTGGAAACATGACAAGCCAATACCATTCTAGTGAACTAATGAGAGTAGCAGACCAAAATCCAGTCTCTTTTCTTAAGCACATGTAAATCTGCGGGCACACCAGTGGCATCATGGGATATATGCTACTGTAAAATGACATTAGAGAAATGAGGACAGAGGCCTTTAAAAGACAATTTAAAATTTATGGCACTTGTTCTCTAGCATAACTAAGTAGCAGTTGACACCAGGCCAGTACAGGGGTGTGCAGTGATGGCTTTAGGACCCCTTAATCTTGAGCAGCCCAGGAATTAGGTCACCCTCTAGCCTAAATTAAAGCTATTGGGTTCTTCTACAGGCGTGTAAAACTAGTCTAACAGGGAGATAAAATCAGGGTCCTTGTTTTTGTAATGTCTTATGAAAGAAAGCATGTACTTTAGAAATTGAGATTAAACCTTTCAAGGCAGTAGCGACTTGGGAGCCTCAATCCAATTTTCAAAAGGGATTTAAGTGCCTACATCATCTATTTAGTTCTCCAGAGGGTCAGATTTTTACAAGTATTTGGGCACTTAATGATGCAATTGGCAGAGCTTTTGAAAAGAAAAAGAAGTCTTCCTAGGTGCCTAAATACATTTAGGGATCAGGCCCTAAGCATCTAGGGCACATCTGAAAACTGTACTCAATATATTTATTTCACATTAATGAATTTTCCCTTTATAGGGACATGTGTACTACTCCTGTTCAAAGATTTAAAATCAATAAAGAGAATATAAAACAGGCTTCACTGTAGAATTATAGCTTTCCTGATGATTTACAGCTTCTAAGGATATTCATTAAAAAATAAAATTTCTCAAAAAGTTGAAATACTGCTAATGGCACAAGAGAAAGAAAAACAATGAAGCCAGAAGTCATATGGACAAATCCACGGTTAAGTACCCTTTTCTGTTTTTGAATCAGTTGCTCCAATTCTTGTTCTTTTGACAGAAGTTTGTGTTCCAGGTCTTGACTGCGGGACTGAAATCTCTCTGTGTCCTGCAAAAACAAGGGAGGTGAAAGTTAAACAAAAAGGCCCAGTCTTATTCATGAAGGCAACAGTGTCCAGGGGATAAGGTGCAAGACAAGGTATCAGATCTGGAAATCAGGGATAGGCTGTGAAGAGTGAAGGAAAATAACTTAGGGTAAGGCTAAGGTAAATTTTCCCTCACTCAGCAGGGCAAATCCTGAGGTTGGGTAAGTGGCAGTTCTCCACAAGTTACTGAGCTTGATCTAGGAATTACTGGGTCAAATTCTATAGACCCTTTTATGCAAGATAGTGCATCTTAAATGGTGCCTTGTAGCTTTCAAATCCATTTATTAGCCACATTAGTTTAACTTTAGAATAATATCACTGGGGTAAGAGTTACACTGATATAAGCAAGGAAAGAGATGGGTCTCGAGTGTTTGGAGCACTCCTCTCTGATTGTATGGCTAGCTAGCTAACTAATCTGGAATAATATCTGAATAAATGAGAACTTCCCCTGCTTCCATTAGGAATTACAGTTGTAAGACAGCTCCTCAGATGTTGTAAACTGTCTGTAATTCTAGACCAGGGGTGGGCAAAATGCAGCCTGGGGGATGGATGCGGCCTGCCAGGCCATTCTATCCAGCCCGTGGGGCCCCTAAAAAATTTAGAAAATGAATATTAATCTGCCCTGGGCTGCCTGTCATGCGGCCCTCGATGGCTTGCCAAAACTCAGTAAGCGGCCCTCTGCCCAAAATAATTGCCCGTCCCTGTTCTAGACACTTAAAATTGAAGCGAGTGTCCACTAAGGTCCCCAGGAAAACTCTTGTTAGATAATGATTAAGTCTCCCTAAAACAGGTGAGCATGGGAACAAGGAAATGTTCCTACCTCTCTACTTTGGCTCCTAAGAATACACTTAATGGGGCAATTTAATACACGTTAACTGGCTCCTTATACAGAAGACTATGTAGCCAAATGAATAAAGACACAGTAACCATTCCTTTAAATAGAGCCCTCAGTCAGCAGGTTACCAACTATCTTAAATAACAATAATTTGGATTTATTTGGCTCCGTAACAATACCTTTTAGTGTATTTTTTCAAGTGTTGCTTTTTATGTGAGCAGGTAATCATTTTCTTTTTCCACTTGGCATTAGTGTACGTAGTGTCCCTGAGAGTTTGATTTATGGAAAGAAGTTAAAATTCACCCAAAAAAAAAATCAGGCAAGCCAAGAAAAAGTATGATTCTTCAGGGTCTGATACCTGCTAGTACAAGTGCTGAGTAACTTAAAATAACTAAAATGGGGAGGTCTATGACAAGGGCTTGAAATAGTAATAAATGAATGAATTAATAAGAGAATTTATGACACTGCTTTAATCATGAGCAAGTTAAGTAATAGTTCAAGGCAAGCGTCTTTATTTTTTTTAGATTTTCAATTTTATTTCAATAGTTCACTATTTTTATTAGAGCATTCAAAACCCCAGGCTCTTCCATAGCAAATTTCATGACGTAGGATCACAAAACCCACCGACTTATTTCATTTCAGGCAGAAGGCAGGGTAGATTTGCACCTTGTAGCCTAACTAAATCATAAGCTTTCATGAGCGTGGGCTCACTTCATCAGATGCTGATTATTTCATGTCAGCCACCAGTGGAATTCAACCAGCTCCAGAGTGAAATACCACTGCTGTTTAAGAGTCTTTGCTAGCATCCTCTGAATGCAATGGAAAGATTCCCACTGATTTTATTAGGCACTAGGTCAAGGCCCTGATGGTGCATACGGCAGAAAGCAAAGATAAAAAAAATGATGCAACTGAAAATTAGGGGAACATCTAAAACATCATATTCGATGGATGCAGAGTTGCTCTGGAATAATTAATGACTACTGTATGCTGACCTACTTCTTGGAATACTAACTTTAAAGATATATTGGTTTCACTCACAGAGCTGTGAGGAAACAAAACAAGAAAGCCAAACAACAACTCCTGATATGCAACCCTTAATATAAGAGGGGTATATTTCTGGCAAAGAGGAAAAAAATATGGGAATAGAATGGGGAAGGATAATAGCAACTGAAAAAGAGACTCTCAAGAGACTGGGTGAGTAGTAGAAAGTTGTTTAGGGTTGGGGGAGAAGACAGCTGTGACAGACACCCACTGGGGTGGCTAACAAAATGAAGCCTGCCTTAAGGGATGGTATGCCTTTAGGAAAGATCAATATAAATGTAGACTATTACATTAAAATCCTTTTCTCTTATGCTTTGTTTCTGCTGTGTTAAGTAAGTGCTGAAATGGTCTAGGAAGGCTGCCTTTTCTCTATATTTATCACTGATCATAGTCTCCAGAAAGGAGGATAAACCACAAGGGCCAAACCCAGTTGGGACCTCTGGGGTAAGCCCAGTTGACTTTATATATAAGGCAAAGCAGCTCACAAGCCATAAGGGTATGGACAAACATTAAATTGAAAAGCTCCAAATCTCGCTCCAATTTGTTCCTGTTTTTTCAAGAGTCATTTTTGAAGGGCTTCATCAAGGGTGAATGTTTGTAGCACTTCAAAAGGCACTTGAAGCACTTCATACAGAGCATCTGTCCATGGCCTAAGAGTAAGGAAACTAGACAATTCTACCCCAGGGGACATAAAAGGAAATAAAAGTAAAGTAATAAAAAATAAAAAGGTATTCATTATAATATCCCAGGAAACATGCTTAGAGACCAGGAACAAGACAGACTTGCAACAAACTTTGCAAGTATGCCACCACATAAATTACTCAGAAAGGAATCTGATCAGGACAAGAAGACTAGTGCTATTGTCAACAGTGCTAGGGGATCTTTTATGAACAGAAGTAGTCAGGACTTTGACATTAAATCTTGCCCAAGATGACAGCTCCACAAGCTCCTACAGCATGGGCTAATGGTTCACTAGCTGTATCAGATAATTAATACCACCCTCTGAATCACAGCATAGTGCAGAACTCAAGCACTCCTCCGTATCCCATCTGAGTAGTCTGAGCTCGTGAGCATCTGAGCTTGTGATCTGTTGAGATCATGACACAACATCGTAAAGAAATTTATGCTTTATCTTACTGAATTTCTCAATTTTTTTGAGGGCAGGGGTGGTGGGGGGAGGTTACTTCTCTTTTCCTACTGGCTGAAACTCATGGAATTATCATGGTGTAAATAGGTATAAATGACAGCAGTATCCATATGCAAAACAAAAAGGAAACTCACTTTCAGGAGAAACTGTTCCTTCTCCTTTTTGATTTGCTGCTCCATTTCTTCATAGAGCTGCTGAATTTCTTCATCATAAGCAGCAATTTTCCTAATAAGAGATAAAAGCATGCCATGTGGGTCTTTGTAGCATTATTTCAAGACAAGGCTCACAATTACTAGCTTAGCACCACATTTCTGTTTTAGCACAAAGCCCCAGGGAATGATCCTGAGAGCAGGGAAAAAAGAATTTACTGCAGGAAAGGTCACAAATAAAAAACAAAATGTTTCCTTGTGGGAGGAGAGCAGTTACAGTGCGAAAGCTAATAAGGCTGCTGCTTTGACAATTTAAAATTGCCAGAAAAAAATTGTGTGATGACTGTTAATTATGCACTCCTAATGACTATTGAACCTGAAAGCCTATGGAATGGAGGTCCTAGAAGCAATACAGTACTCACACCAATAATGATAATACTGTAAACAATTTTTAATTTAAAGAGACTTGCAAGTATTTCTGATACACATTCACTCCCCTGTTATTTGTGGGATTGCATTGCTCATTATTCCAAGGGCTCATGGAACCGGTGGTTTATTTGTGAACCTGTTAATGAAGCCCAAAAATTTCAGCACAAATTATTTGTCATACTGGACAATGCCCTATTCTCATTTTCCCACTCCTCTCATTTTGTTCTGCTCCCATCTAAAAAGGTTTAGTCACCCAGTCAGGGAGCAGAAGTAAAATGCACTGTGCCCAAATGTACATAACTAGAGCAAGCACAAGGGAATGAACAGTTCACTTTTTGAGGAGTGGGATTCTAGCCAGCATGCTAGCAATCTCTTAAGGAGAATTAGGGGGAATTGTTTTAGCTAGTTTTTTTGCTTTAAAAAAAAAAAAAAGAATCCAGCAATTGAGACCACTTCTTGAATGCCCAAAGAGTGTCCTGTTGGGATTTATAGCAAAACTTAATGAATTTCTCTTGTGATACTGCTGTATACTCTCCCTGGATGATCTGGATAGCAGTGCTGGATGTAGCAAAGGTGCATTATCCAGGCAATTTGCAGAGTTCCTATGAAATAGTTTTCAAAAAATCACAAGGGAATCCCAAAATCCCAGGAACAGAAATGAAAACCTCTAAGGATTTCATCCATGTGCTGAAAATTTCAAGATTTCAAATGAATATATAATGGGAAGAAGGCCCTTACGTACAGCACAGGAAATCAGGAGTAACTGATTTCAGTTTACAGTGATTACAGTAACTGTAAGGTCAAATGAACTGATACAAGGAACAGTATAATCAGGTCTCTGTTCCCCGAAACATTTAGAATACCTAGTGTAATCAGGTCACTCACCCTACTTCTTGATATAGGGGCATCTGCTATGGGTTTCCAATCACTTTATTTTACATGGGGCAACCTTGTTGCTACAGTAAATGGAACAAAACAAACAAACAAACAAACAAACCCAAAACCTGCTATCTTCCTTCAAAGCCTGGGAGAGGCAAGTCTGGCACTGTGCCTCTCCCTCAGCACAACAGCCTCCTCTCATCTCTCCCCCTTGAACAATGCTCCTGGAACTCATAACCCTCTTTGGGTGCCTATACATGAGCATGAAGACTGTTCTGACACACTGTAATTACAGCGCATCCGAGCAGTCAAGTCTGTTGGAGTGTGGCAATTACCGTGCTCCAGCCAGTCTCCGCATCTTGTGTATCAGCGTCCCTGCACTCCCCGCGGGGACGCTTCATCTAAAGCTCATCAGATGAAACACAGAGACCCTGATACACAAGATGCAGAGACTGGCTGAGAGTTTCCCCATTCCCAAAGTCTGGAGAAAGAACAGGCTCCAAGCCTCATCTGGAGGTGTCAGTCCATAACATAAATTCTCACTTATAGTCCAGATTGTGCAACACCAGAGCACTGCAGAGGAGCCACTTCATCATGTCGGATGCCTCTGTACCCTCTGCTAACCACTGTGCTCTTCCTAGTTGTTCCCTCTCCCTGAAGTAGGCCAGTCAAAGGCACCGTAATAGCTGAAAACTGCAGAATAATATGTCAATATGCAACCTGTCCTAGAAATAACTTCACTAGTCAATTTGATGTGGATACTAAGGAGTCCACCACTGCCCTTACTTTTTTCACTAGGGGTATAATCTTCCCATTTCCTAGGACTGAAGGTATATCCTAGGTACTTGGTCTCTCTACAACCAAGCTGGCGGTTAGCCGAGCTGGCTGTGAAGCCCGCAGCTCTAAAAAGTGCAGCACTGCTTTCATCTGCAGATGGGCTCATCCCAGGTGCTGGCTAATATTACCATATTGTCCAAGTATGTGACTGCATATGATCAGCATGGGTGGAGTATTTTGTCCATAAAGTGCTGGAAGGCAGTTGGCCCTTACACAGAGTCCAAAAGGCAGAGTTTGAAATGGGTAGCATCCCCATGGTGTTGCAAATACTTTGGTTTCTCAGGGCTGTGGGGCTAATGGTAGTTGTGGATAGCCTTTTGTCAAACCAGGGCAATAATAGGTTTGGACTTTCCTCTTCCTTCAAGCATCTTGTTTAACCAGGGCATTAGGAAGGTGTTAAACTTTGAGACTGCATTTACTTTTGAAAAGTCAATACAAAAATGGACAGCCAGGCCCAGCTTCAGCAGCAGCACAACTGGTACTAGCTGATTATACTAGTAATACACTAGTAGATTCTTTTAGCACCCCCAATTCAAGCATACTTTGAATTTCATGGTGTACCGTGTCCCTGAGATGAGCTGGAATTCACGAATATCCCTTTTGCACAGAAAACCCCAGCTTAAGGACAATCTGGTGCTCCATTAGAGCAGGTCTCCCAGAAGTGTTTGTAAAAAACATCTAGAAATTTTTCTAACTGGGTTTTCATGTTGACTTGTTGGGCTGTGGTTAAAGCTTCCCCCAGAGAGAGAGCTACACTAGAGTCTGGAGGGACCCTTGCAAGACCAAGGCCAGCCCCAAACAGACAACTGAGGACATTACTGGCTTCTTAAGTCACTCAGGAATTTAACAGATTAACACAGTAGATCTGGGAACTTTGCCACTTCCGCACCAGACACACCTCACTGTCCAGCTATCCAACTCAACACAGGATCTCAGACAGGCCCTGTCACTTAGCTAACAATTTGCTCTCCATGTGGGGGGAGAAGAAATACCACCCTGTCACCAGGTTGGTTCCACAACCTGGCATTTTTGTTATATTGATATTCCTGGGCCTGTTGTGCCACCTTGAGATTTTCCTTACCAAAGGCTCCCACCAAATCCAGCTGCTCCCACAGCTTGAATGTCACACTGCGTTCTGTGCTTTGGTGCCTGACAGAATTCCTTTGAGAGCTCTACCATTCCCTCAGGGTTGCTTCCTATGTAATAAAGTGGAAAAAAGCTTGGTGGTGACTGTAGGACCTCCCAAATAGCAAACAGCAAAATCTACCTTGGCTGGATTGGAATCAACTGAGTTCAAACCTCCAGGCCAACTGTAACAGTTTGGTCATGAAGCCCCAACCTTGACCAATCACCACTGGGTAAGTCACGTAGCTGGCCACAGTGGCAACAATCCTAACCTTCTACCTCCCAATAATTAGGCTCATTTGGACTCTGGGTCCTGGCCCAACATTCCCATGGATACACATCACATGGACATATTCCAATATTTTAAAGTCCTCGTGGTCCACAAACTGCTGATGTATAAAGGTCTGTTTGAACTCCAGATCTACCAGCCCTATGACCTAGACATCACCTGCCTAGACAGATCTGGGCCCTCCCTCAGTCCCCCTGACATACATTTGGGCATACCCACCATCCATCTAAGGGCAGTCCCTGTACTGCTGGCCATCCTCACTACATTTAAAACAAAGTTAGTTAACCACCTAATTTAACTGTCGAGCTACTAGCCAGCTCAAAGTTTCCCTCTTCCCCCATGCAGCCTGTCATGGCCCATCTGTCAGGCCGCAGTCTTGAAGGAAAGCAGGGTAGAGTCCTGGGCAGTGGTGTTCTAGCTAAAGATCCCTTCAAAGTTGCAACTGGCTTCTTCCACAATCCCAGCCTCTCAGAGCTCAGGTTATAAGAATATAAGAATTACCATTTACTAAGTCAGACCATATATCCATCTTGTGTTGGATGGATCCTTTGCCCAGATGGTGGATGGTGCCCACTATCCAGTGTTACAAAGTGGCAGAGAGTGGATGTCAAAAGGAAGAGTGAACTAAGTATGACCAGGGTTTATTCCAAAGTTTTTCCCTCACTTGCAGTTTCCAGTATTTAAGGCCTTGGCTGGTGTCCCCCAGTGTGGAATCCATACAATCCAGGTCTGCCTCCATTAGGTTTTCAACCATATGGATTATCTCATCCAGGGTGGACATCTGTTTCTGGTAGACTGACTTCCAGGGTCCCAGTGGGAGTATGGAGCAAAACTTTTCTAAAATCATTAGTTCCACTATTTCTGACAGCAACAGAGTCTCTAGCTTTAACCAAAGGGTGCAAAAGTATTTTAATCTTTGAACTATAGCTCAGGGACGAGAACCAGGATTAAATGCCTCCTGTCTAAATCTGCACCAGTATGCCTCCTCTATTAGACCTAGGCAGGTCCAATATAGAGACCTTAAGAGCCTCATATGCCTGGGCCAAAACTGCCCCAAGGCTCCAGTAGGCTGCCTGAACTTCCCCAAAACAAAGAAATATGCAAGTGTGCAAACAACAAATAAACAAATCCAAAACTTGCCATCTTCCTTCAGACCCTGAGAGGGGCAAACTTGGCTCTGCACTTCTCCCTCAGAACTACAGCCTCCTCTCTCCCTTGTACTCTGCTCCTGGACCTCTTGGGTACCTGTACACAAGCTGGGAGGCTGCTCCAACGTGCTTTAATTACAGACTTGATTAATCTAGTCTGCTGGAGCACAGTAATTACCATGCTCCAGATATCCTCCGTGTCTCATGTATCAGTGTCCCCTCACTTCAAAATGCTGGCAGGGGCACTTTATCTAAAGCTCATTGAACAAAGCATGAGGACCCTGATACAGGAGATGTGGAGACTGGTTGAGTTTCCCCATGCCCAAATTCTTGAGAAAGAACAGCCTCCAGGCCTCATCTCGGAGCCAC